TGCCATTGGGCCATGTCTGTGCTGGTCATGGGAGAACACACTCTTGGAGCCTAGTTCTAAGGGGAACCCTGGAGAGCAGCACATTGAGGGGATCTTGCAGTTAAGTGGGAGTCCTGCTAGTTAGGAAAGAAGGCAGATCCTGGCAGAGTCCTGGCAGTGGTTGGGGACCCTGGATGGAAGCAGTGGGGCAACCTGGAGGCTGAGTCCCCCGAGCAGTGAACAGCAAGGCAGGAGCCTGGCATTGGGGCCCTGGGCTCAGCCACAGCACGAGCTCCACCCTGTGGGACTTTGCAGTGCAGTCAGAGGGTCTGTGGATGGGAACTTAGAGAACTCCCCCAGGGCCAAGGACCGCAAGAAAATATTGTTTAAAAATATTTTGTATTTTATTATTTTAGAGCTATTGTTTTATAAATGTATAATCCAATAATACTATAAACCCTGTCTGTAAAAGGAATTCATTTGCATTTATAGTACTTGTTGAAGAGTTATTTACTGTCAGAAATATGCTATTTGTATTCAGTAAGTTTGGGGCAGCCAATCTCAAGTGCTGGGACTCACAAGACAGCAGTGCCCCTGTGAGCAGCTCCCTCTGTGTGAGGCCTGAGCCGCTGGTCCACACTGAGCCTCCTGGTGTCACGGCTGGAGGAGGTAGGGGGGACTTTGTGGCCAAGGTGAACCTCCCACCTCTTAATCCATTCACAATGATACTGAGCTGCTTCCCTCTCTGCGTCGACTTCTTCAGCTGCCATCAGGAACACACCTGAGGGTAAAGCACTTGGCAGGGGGAGAGACGAGAATAACTCAAAGGAACACAGAAACCTGCATTCTGGAGAGAGCTCTGGTACCTGAGAAGCCCTCTCTGAAGTGAGGTGGGTGTGATGTGAGATTATGAGCTGTTTTGCTTATTTCAGGGTCTTTCCGCCTTTGTAAGAAGAGTTCTTGTCTGTCTTCTGATGAATTTTGCAGTATTTTCCCCAGAATTGAGGCATTTGCCATTCTTCTCTGAACCACATATTTCTCCTCTCCTAAGTCCCACGTGCCTTGTTCCCCCTCTGATACTCAGGGACTGGTGTTTTGTCCAGGCAGTGGACGATAGGCCTAGAGTGGTGGTGGAGGTGGAGACGTGAAAATTGATCTGAGCTCTATTACAAAGTGGGACTGTTTTTACTTGGTGATAAATGAAGGGCACAACATGGTGGAACAGGAAGGCTTAGGGATGGCGTCTGTGTGTCTTAGCTGAGCAGCTTAGTGGAGCCGGGCACTTCTTACCACCATGAGGACACTTGGAAGCGAGGTGGCCCGGGTACTGCATCAGCTCTCAGTTATGTGTCCGAATCTTAAGATAGTCAACAAATTCTGAGCCACGCTCCATTACTGGCTCTTTTGGTCAGGCTTCCCCTAAAACCTATTACATTTTTGCTTGCATTGTCAAGTCCTTGACATTACAGAAGTAAAAGCATTTTTGTATGTGAGTGTTGCTCATGAGGAGAATCTTGCAGGGCTTCCGAGGCATGGACTGTGGCTTGGAGCCAAAGATGGGTTTGAGCTCTGGTTCTGTAGCCCACAGGTCTCGGGGCACGATGCAAGTCATGCTCTGAATCTCAGTTCCCCAGATTGAGATATGATTATAGTAACCTATTTCTCATCTCACAAGATGATTTTATTATATAAGATATATTACAACAGAATAAAATGAAAAATAATGTGTTGTCTTGGAGGTAGCATTTTATGTGACTCTGAAGTCTGTAATTCTAGATATTAGTTATCTATTTGTATGTAGAAAAAACAACTGTCTCAGTTCCCTTTAATGCAACATCTTAAAACCACCATTTATTGTTTCCTGGGGGCTCAGAGTGAGAAATCCAGGAGTAGCTCAGCTAGGGAGTCCTCATTCAGAATTTCTCACAGGCTGCGCTCAGTCTGGCAGCTCTCAGTCATCTCTAGGCTTCTGTGGCTGCAGAATCCACTTCCAGGCTTCAGTTCCTCCCCACACGGCCTCTCCACGAGCTACTGACAGTATGGTGTCTTGCTGGGCGTGGAAGGAGGCCAAGTCAGGGCACCAGCAGCAGTCCATTATCACATAACCTTATGCAGGACAGAGTGGTGTACGTTATTGGTCACTCACACCAAGCCCCTGGTACGTGTGGAGCACACATACAGTGGTATGAAAAGCAGGTGATAGGATCATTGAGGTCATCTTCGAAGCTGGGTGCCATCCCCTGAATTCAGGAATTAAACTGAGGCAGAGGGAATTCTAAATGAAACCATATGTTCAAATAAAGCTTTCAGTGTTAACTTGATATCCATTTTGGAGTGCATTTGAAAACTCCCTGGATAAGATCCTTGCATGATACTCTTTACACATGCACACACACACACACAGCGGATGGAATGTTTATCCATGAGATGTGACTTCAGTGTGTATTCTACAGGTACAGCTAATCCTTTCACTAAAGGTTCCTTTGCTTCCTTGCTATCAAAGAGCTGCCTGCATGTGCCAAAGCAGAGCCGACTCACACAGTGGTGCTAGGGCTCTGGTCTACCACTTCCTGATCCAGAATACACTGCTTGCCTCTGTCCTCCACCAGCCTGCTTGGCTGTGCCTGCATACGGGGTGAATAAGTTTTGTAGAATTTATTGCCACTCCTTGAATAGTTTCCTTTATCACTCACAAGGCCTGTCCTTGTAATAGGTAGTGCTGCCTGACCTGGTCTCACCATGAAGCCACCGTCGCCTCTGCCTGCCGCTGACCCTGACAACATGTCACCAGCAGGACTTCTCCTGGAGTCTCATGATTTATGAGTGCCTTGTGGATATTCTGGCAGGCTATGACAGCATACAACTCTCATGACCAAAATATCCACTGAGATCTCTAGAGTGAAATGCTTACATCCAATCCCAGTGGCAACTTCTCTGCTACTCATAGAAATTCTGCAATCTACTGACCACATGTGGGGGGAACTGTAGCCCCTAGACTAAGCTTAGACCTGTGCTGGTTTCAGTTTCTAAAGAGCTTCCACAGTAACGGTGGCCACTTGCATATATTAACAAATATGAATGATTGCTAACATTTATTTTAAATTTTTTTTAGTTTTTAAGTTTTATTTATTTATAATTTTCTTTTAAAACCTTCTTCTACCTCACCCATCACCCACCCAATGGTAGGTGGGAACACATTATGAACCACTTTATATTATCTGTTAACACTTTATATGTATTTTACTGTCATTTGTTTGTTTGGGGTTCAAATTATAGTTCTTGGAGAATACCTGAGTTCCTCTACAAGTTTATAAGCTTGCTGATGTTGGAATTCATACTTGGTTCCATTTTTCTTCTTCTATAACTTCTTATAAACACAATAGGTGTTTAATACCTACTTGTTATATGTCTGAATAAAGATAGAATCCTAGACAGACCTCTTATTGGCTCACTTCCATGTTATACTGAGGTCTGAGGACTTTCAGGTTGTCCCCTGGTCTGCGAGAGGTGTCAGAGTTTTTATGCAACTTCCACTTGGAGTCTTAAGAAACCCAATCCATTGTTTGGCATAGGCCCACTGTGTCCCTCACATTATCAGTTAATCCAGTGTTTCACATGTGTGACGTCACAAAACTATCCTTGGCGTTTGTCTAGGGATAGGAGAGCACTGAGCAAAGCAGGCAGTAGGATAGACAGCGAAAAATGTAAGCAGCAAAAAAATAGATGGGCACAAGGATTTTGTGCAATTGAAAACCAAAAGTATGTATCTGTCCTCTCCCACCTTGTTATTGACAGGGACCTCCTCCTACACGCCACTCCTCCCCTGTCCCCCAGCTTCCCTAAGAGACTGAGCTAGTCTAAAAGTCTAAGTGCCTTTTCTAAGTTTTTAAAATAGTAGCACAGTGCTGGTATGATCACATAAAGCTATATTTTTACTGTCATCTCTGACTGGTAGTAGTGCTTAGTAATTACATGGTGTTCTCCATCTGTAAGTCAGTAAACACTTTATAAATGTTAACTCTAATTCTCCCAACCTCTCTGCCTAAACAAGAAGACTAGATTACATGGGCCTTCACAGCTCAGCTGCCCATGGGTGCAGTTATGTCTCATCAGAGTGTCTTTTCTGAAGGTGACAGAGCTGGTAAAGTGACACCCACTCCCATGAATAACATTCTGTGCTGCCACATAAGAAACTGGAAGTCTCCACAGGAGCAAGACTCGAAAGAACTGGCCTCTGCTTTCAGCAAGCAGACACTCCTATACCTTATATTAACCTCGACCATCTACAGCATAGCTGGTAACCATGTTTGATAATGGATTATTAGATTGCTGGAATGATTAAAACATATTTTGTCTGTTCATGGACACAAAGTTTGTTTCTGGTATATATTATCTGCTTCAGAGATTTAAAAGGAAAAAAGAATCATCACTGCTTTGGTAGCAGTTTTATAGCTTTTTGTTATTTTTTAAAATATCTATTCTTCCTAAATATCTGAAATCTTACTTCTTTTTTTAAAAAAAATCTTGTGCTAGTAAATTTCTTTTCTTTTCTTTTCTTCATACCGGTACTGGGGATCAAACTCAGGACCTTGCACTTGTGAGGCAGGCATGGCACCACTGAGCTACATTCCCAGCCCATGAATTTCAAAAGGGAAACTAGAGTTTGAAGATACTTATAGGGAAATATTATATTCTACAGTTTTAAATTTCTATACTAACCATAGCTTTAATAACATGGCTTTCGTTAACCAACATGATTTCAATCTATTATGCAAATATAGTGATTATTCCAATAAAAATGCTGTTAAAAAGATTGCATACTTTAAGTTTCCGTAGCATAACAAATATGGTCCATTTTCTTGTTTTCGTTTTTGTTTTATTTGCTTATTTTGTCTTTAATGGCAACCTATTTAAAGAAAAGACCTTTAAAATGGCAGAATAACTTGATAGCATGTCTTCACTGGTAATTTAATACTTGGTTATAATGAGTTCATCTGAGAAATTTCATTTAAAACAGCAAGGTGCCTGAACACCAAAGCGGAGATATTTTAATCACAGAAATATAGTAATTATACAAATCCCAAGATTTTCATCAGACAGAAAAGGCTTCCAGGACTAAATATGCACTTTAAAGTCAGCACTAATAACTGTGTATTGTTCTAAATTATAGTTGAGAAGCTCTTCAGGCCAAGAGAAATACTAGCCAAAATAGTAGAAAGAAAATGTTAATGTGTTGAATTTTTAAGGAAGTTGGAGAAATCGAGTGCTTGGGTGGTGGAATGGTGTGGCTTGGCAGCCCCTGTCCTGGGTGATGAACCAGGAACCCCTGAGTATGGACACAGTTTCCTGCAGGGGACGCTCAGATCAAGTTAGTGAGCCTGGAGGCGTCAACCCGTCATCACCATAGGAAGAAGGACAGTGGCACCTGTCTGAAGAATAATTTAGTTATCACAGGGCTTAGTAAAAATGTCAACTTTTCATTAAAGGACAAAGCATGTATACCCCCAGGAGCTTGTTTTTAAGAGAAGTGATATGGAAAGATGCATCTAGAAGGGAATTATAAAAATGTTCCCAAGTAAACATTTTTCTTTAATCTATTGTTATTTATTTCTGGCTAAGATGAATAGTGGGAGATGTAAAAGAAGGGTTAAAAAGGGGAGAATGCTGAAGAAAGAATGCTGTGTAGATGTGGTCTGTGGTTGAGGAGGGAGGAAGGGTCCCTGAAGAGAATGGCGAGGGCCTGTCCTGTGGGGTCCTCATATGTTACAGGGACTTGGAGCTGGGGTGCAGGTGTGTGATCTGCTTGAGAGCCACCCTTGAGCAGTTAAGACCCAGAATTCCTTGCAGGGCCTGGAACAGAGACACGCCTAGGGTTTGAGTCCAGGCAAGACAGTATTCCCACCCTGTTCTTCCCCTAACCCCATCCCTTTCCATGACAAACTCACCTTCCCAGTCTGCAGCAGGATTGGTGAGTTCAGGAGATCAACTGTCCCGACCCTTTCTGAGATAGATTTACTACTTTCATATTTGAACCTCTGGGTGCTTCCCCATGTGGGCATCAAAAGCTTGAGACCTCTCTGATGACTGTCAGGACCACCCCGGATGAGGGCTCCCGGACGACTCAGGGAGCTGACTGCATCCTCCTGCCTGCCTGCCTGATAGTCCCCTGCCTGCAATTTCAGTGTCATTCAAGTTTTGTCCCCGCCTTGCTAATAGAGATTGAACCCAGGGTCTTCACACTAAGCTACATCCCCAACCCTTTAAAAAAAACTGTTATGTTGATACAGGATCTTGTTAAGTCACTAAGCTGCCCAGCCTGGGCCTCCACTTGTGATCCTCCTTCTGCCTCCCAGAGTTACTTTTCCCTTTTAAATCATCAAAATGTGCGCCGTTCTGGAGAATTTATAAGACTAAAAAAAAATTAAGTCAGCAGAAGAATCAAAATCCTTCCCCCCAGAGAACTGTTATTCACACTTGGCGATGTTTCCCTCCCGTCTTCTCTGTGTCCTCTTTTCTTTACAAGGCACTGCACAGCAGAGGAACATTTGTGTTCTGATTTACACTCAACAGTATTGAGTCATCTTCCCCAAGCACTTTCTGTAACCTCAGAGAAGTCGACAGACTCTGGCTAGCCACAATGAAGGAAGGTGTTAAGTGTTCCTATCCTCTGTCTCTCCCCAGGTCATTCCTTGTCTGAGGCACATCAGAAAGGCTATGATGGGAAGGCATGGGAGAATTTGGAGGTGCTCCAGCCTGGAAGACCCTTCTGTAGGACAGCTGTCTCCGGCGGCGGTGGACTGCAAAGCGCAAATGGAGGAGCGCAGCGCAGGGGGCCCAAGATGCACACAGCCTGCGGTCTAGTCCCGGAAGCCCTTCCGCGGGGCCTGGGCTCTGGGATGAGGCGCCTGCTGGATGCATGGCCTTGTCCTGAGTGACGATGGTCCGCCGCGGCCTGCTGGGGTGGATTTCCCGGGTGGTGGTCCTGCTTGTGCTGCTCTGCTGCGCCATCTCCGTCCTCTACATGCTGGCCTGCACCCCCAAAGGCGACGAGGAGCAGCTGGGGCTGCCCAGGGCCAACGGTCCCACAGGGAAAGAGGGCTACCAGGCCGCGCTGCAGGAGCGCGAGGAACAGCACCGCAACTATGTCAGCAGCCTCAAGCGGCAGATCGCTCAGCTCAAGGAAGAGCTGCAGGGGCGCAGCGAGCAGCTGCGGGGTGCGCAGGACCAGGCCAGCGAGGCGGCAGGCCGCGGCCCCGATCCCAAAGCGCAGGCGCAGGCCGACCTGCTGACCTTCCTTCGCGCGCAGGCGGACAAGGCCGAGGTGCACGCAGGGGTCAAGCTGGCCACCGAGTATGCTGCGGTGCCTTTCGACAGCTTCACCCTGCAGAAAGTGTACCAGCTGGAGACCGGCCTGACTCGCCATCCCGAGGAGAAGCCGGCGAGGAAAGACAAGCGTGACGAGCTGGTGGAAGCCATCGAGTCGGCCCTGGAGAGCCTGAACAGCCCCTCCGAGAGCGGCCCGAACCAGCGTCCGTACACGGCCTCGGACTTCATAGAAGGTTGGCACCTTGGGGATCTGGAGGGGCTGGGGAGTCGGAGAAATGGTTTCCAGGGTACCTCCAGCACCCAGGCAGGTTCCAGCTACAGGAGACCGTCAGGTGACTGACACGGCTCGGTGACGGTGACACTTTCTAAGTGAGCGACACCCAGAGCGTGGATTTTTGTTTTTCAGAAACATCTGTTTCCTCTTACTTCCCCGTGGAAACGAGTCATTGAGTACACCATTTCCCTGCTGTTTGGCAGAAGGTCTCAGTTCTTGCTTTCATTCTTAAAGAATGAAAGGAAATATAAACATCAAACTTTGAAATCCAAATAGACAACAATAGCAGTTTTCCTTGTATGCCTTCTGACAGGCTGTTCTAGGGATTAGACTTCAGTCTCAGGACCGGGAACAAGCAAGGAGCATGGTCACATGTGCAGGGCCTTATACGAGGAACTTTACACCTACTGATTTTTTTCCTCCTCGGAAGAACCCCACTAGGAGATGAGGGAAGGGTGGTATACATTAAGTAAATACCTGAGGGTGCTTGCTTGGGTAGCAAGTAGCAGAGCCAGAATTCAGACCCCACAAATCTGAATCCAGAACACCTGTCCTTAACCACCATCCTATGCTGCACAGGACAGGGCACGTGAAACTGAGACAATCAGCTTTATTCACAGGCACAAGGATCCTATTAGTTTGTGCTTGTGTTTCCTTTTAGAAGACAATAGCTGTGTTCAGTTGCTTGGAAGGCTTCTTACTGTCTTTTTATTAATTTACACATTATTACTGCTTCAAAAATCAACCAATGGGAAAAGTGATGCCTTCAGGAGCCTCTAGTTCCCCCCCCCCCCCATTTCTTGGTAAAATCTCCTTCAGGTTGCCTGGAAATATAGCTATGTCTATCTAGCCCACTTCCCTCTTTTGTTATGAAACCAACTCATGGTCCTACAGGCAAGCCAGAATCTCTTTAGGTATAGAAAAAATTCTGCTGTTGCTATTTATGCCTTTTCTCTTGGGGCACTTTCCTGCCTTAAGACTTTTTTCCACTTTACATTTGAACCACAAATTCATGCAGTTTTAATGTAGCATCATTTTTTAAAATACCTGGAGCCAAGTAAAGAAATCATTTACAAGATCAAGCTTTGGTGTGAGGGTTTTGGTTTTTTTTACTCATTTATAAACGATATGAAAAAAATACTTAGGATCTTCAGCTGCTGACCAGTGTAATAATAAGCATATGGTGAATGTGCTCAAAGAGTTCAAAATATAATGATGATGTACATCACATTTTATAGTGCTTTACAGTTCATGGAGCATTTCCACATGTGATATGTTGCTAGCTGACCCCCAAGAAAAATCATTAAGCATCATTCAAAAAAATCGTGATTGCCACTTTCCCTGGAGTATAGAGCTGCCCACGTACAAAGCAATTTCAAAAGAACTTAATTACAGATCAATGCCTGCAGTTTGGAATGTTGCCCTGGTGATTTTCCATCTGCTTTCATTTTTGAAATCCTTGTCTGCTTTTCTGTGTACACGATATGTAAGGCCTGTCTTCTTCAGTCAGCAGTGAAACCAGCCTTTTGTCACAGAGTCTGTTTGCTCTGAGATCTGGCGTTCTGTTACAGACACTGTCATCAAAGATGCCCGATCTTGCTTTCATGGCTGATACTGGAAGATACTTTAATCCACATGTATCTTCCAAATCTGATGAAGGCACAATAAATTGTTTTCATATGAGTAAATAAAAACAAAACAGTTCAAATATATTTGTGTAGATTTGATAATTACACACAGCAGAGAGAGATTATTTACTTTTTAAGTTCTTATCCATAGCAAAAATTATGGAGGCAGTCTTCTATATTCACAGGAAACAGGGTACTTGGGAGGTTCTACCAGTCAGAAGAAGCTGGAAGGAGATAGAACTAATTCAATACAAGGAGTAACTTCAAAAATAGTTATGTTTCAGAACACAGTGGTGTTCCTGTCATTACACGAATTCTGTCATCTCCTGGAGGGCCATTTGACCAAAAAGTTATAAATCATCATCCTTGCTTCAGAGAGGTGGCTGGACTGAATTACTTTTGAGGACCTTTTCAGCCCAGAATCACAGTTCTATCTATACCTCAGTAAGGAGGAAGAAGACAATGGAAAAGGTCTCATTTGAAATCTGTCTTCTTTAATGAGTTAGAGCAAATGACAAGGCTGACTTATAGCTTTAACCTGTTTATATTTCTGAACATCCCCTTAGAGAGAATGGTTTTGTATGAAAAGTGTCAGTAGTCCAAAAGTCAGAACGATTCAGCAAAAATCTAGGAAAATTTTGGGTTAGAGGCTGTAGTACTGTATGCACTCAGAGGATTTGAAGTGAAGAAGCAAATTTGCTAAACCCTGAACTAGTATGCTCAAGACAAATATTATTTGTGTTTAAAGAAATAATAAAGCTGGGGGTGCAGCTCAGTGGTAGAGCACTTGCTTAGCACGCAGGAGGCTCTGGGTTCAATCTCCTGCATCACACAAAAAAGGAAAAGACATAATAAAGAAGTAATAAAAGTCCATTGAACACTTCCAGGTGGGATGGTTCCAGATGACAATTAAAGGTGGCTGTGAGCCGAGTGGCATGATGACCTGTGCATGGGGCACTGTGTGACTTTGACCAAGACCCTTAAGCATATGAGACACAGGCTCATCCCTGTCAGCAAGACTTAATGGGTGCGGCCTCTACAGAGTCTCCCAGCTCCGTCCTCTGAGCCCCTCTTATTTGCAAAACACTCCAACTTCTTTGTTTTGCAGTTTTGTCAGGCCACTGTCTCTGAGGACGCTCTGCCCCTACTCTACTGGGTAACCCAGGACAAGCCCGAATTCAGGTAGATTACTCTGAAGATCTGGTCTGGCTTCAGTGACTTTCCAATCAGCACAGCTCCCAGAGGGAGAATGCCACACTTATGACTTGTAATTTATTACCTAGAGACTTAATTACCTATCTCTGAAACCCAGGGGAACGCTATTTACTTCCTTCCCCTTTTTCCTCGATGTTATATTGGCTCTGACCTTTGGGTTGGATTCTTCCATAGTGGCGCTAATTTTTCATAACCTCTGGGGAAAGAATTGAGATGAGAGCTGGATCAGGTCCTATGCCTTGGGATGCTGTTCTTCTCCTTGAGTAAATAGAAAATCCCTTACTTTGTGTTTGTGTTCTAGTTCTTTCTTCAGTATAGAAAAAACACTTGAGCATTGAAATCTCAATGGCATGTCATTTGGCTTTGATTTCACGTTTTCAATAGAGTACTTGGACGTAAGTTTGACATCATTCCATGAAATTATTTAGCTTTGGGAATCATTCCTCTTTTGGAATGAAAACATCTGAGAGCAGGAACTCTCTGTGGGCCATTTGTGGCGGCTCTCTCTGGGGGTTCCTCTGTCACCAGTCCATGCATCTCACCCTCCTCCAGCTCCTGCAGGGTAAGTAGTGTGCTTGGAGGGGTTGGATATTAAAAGATTCCATTTTTGGATGAGATGGAACTAAGCTGTGATCTGCAAGACAGTGAAGACTTTGAGGGCATTGTTGTTAGAGTGTGTCCCCTCCAGACTTCCGGGGTTGCCAGTGTGACAGTATCAAGGGCTGAGGCCTTTCAGAGGTGATTAGGCCATGAGGACTCCTTTTGTGAATGGGATTAAGGCCCTTATCCAAAGAGGCTTCATGCAGCCTTCTCTAGCTTGCCCTTCCGCCTTCCTCCATATGCAGACACAGCGCTTGTGCCCTCTGAGAATGCTGGCCACAACAGATGACCGAACTTGCCACCACCTTGGTCCTGAACTTCCCAGCCTCCACACAGTGAGGAAATAAACTTCTGTTCTTTAGAAATTACCCATTTTGGGGTCTTTTGTTGCAGCAGCACAAAAGGGATTAAGAAGAAGGATACCCTGAGGTACATTTCAAAACAAGAACCTAGGGAGATGGCATAAATATTATTAACAAGCTGCAGAGTAGGCCCCAGCTTCTTGCACTCTGCTACCAGGACCTCTTGGAGATACTGAGTCTTGGGCTTCCATTGTTTGTCTGTTGCCAGGTGACCTCTAAGGGACACTCTGTAACCACTTAGCTCCAGCTTTTCTGGACATGTACAGGCCTGGACTTGAGCAATCCATTGGGAGTGACGAGGCAGGGACAGTAGTGGACAGGATGCGGGTACTTTGCACACTGTGCAGTTCAGTGATGCGTCTCTTAGTCACTTGGTGACATGGGGGTAGAAACGGTATGGCAGACATGCCGAGGCATTCTGGTCATTGAAAGGAACTGGGGATCTTGGTGTGGAGTGAGGAAGAGGGGGGATTCTGCCCAGTGGGTGAACACCTGTGTTTGGGGTGTGGTGGGGGGAGATTGCAGGCAGGCAGGACGGCAAAAGATGTCAGATCCTGAGTTAGGCTTCCAAATTTTTGACTGTTGTCTCCAGAGAAGTGATGGTGGCAGAATTCAGGACCGAGCTTGAACCAGTCCTGCTGAAAGAACTATGTCAGCTTGGGCTCTGATCAGGCTCCTGTCACTTCACCTGTCTCTATCCCACTCCCACTCCCACCTCTCCCCTTCTGTTTACTGATTTATGTTCCTGTACCCGAGGATGAAATGCTTCTTATTCTGAATCTAGAGATGCGAGGCTTGCATGCAAATAAGTGGCCCGAGGCTGCACTTTGTAGAGTGAATTCTTCCTGTGGTGATGATGAGAAAGAATCCCAGCCTTGGATTTCTGCCAGCACAGCCAGGAACCCCACCCCCATGCCTTCTATCAGGCTACACAACCAGGAGAGCCCCTCGCCAAGGTAGATGCTCATATTGTAGAATATTTTGAAATATTGGATAGCTTTTATAAGGGGTTCAACAGTTTCATTTTGCTCTGGGCCTCATAGTCCTACCTCCAAGCTTGAGAGGACAGGAGGGAGCAGTAAAGAGAAACTAAATGAACTGAGAAGGTGGACTGTATAGTTCTGCCGCCTTTGCTCCAAACACCCCCTTATCAC